TCCGGGTGGTGCGAGAGGTAATCCTCCAGAAACAAACATAGGTTGCTGGTCAACGCTGCTTTGCTCCAAGTTCCTTGTGGCTCTTCCAAAGTGGACCCAAAGAGATGCTGATCCAACTTCGAAACAATACATGTCATCTTTTCGCGACGGCAAAACTGTTTGTAGGCTGCACTGATGGTTGAAAATCTCTCGCCAACCTCACGCCCAGGAATCTTGCTTTGAAGAATCATCATCGCTGAACCAATCCAGTGCTTTCCAGCACCCAAATGAAAACTGTGCCATAAATCGTACTTGTGAAACCGAGACTTGCCGTTAATTGCACCGTCATGAAGCAGCTTTCGGGTCAAGACACTTTCTCGGAACCAAGGTTCCTCAATCCCCATTGTTCTTGCGTCCCTCATGGCTCGTTCGGCTTGAGTCCTTAGACTTCTATATATAGGCAAAACTTTACAGAACAAAGCCACCCGGAAAATGTGAAAACCAGTTTCAATTAATATAAGTTGTGTGCATGCGCGAACAAACGCATACGTTAGGCGTTGGGTAACACTCTTCGAACCATTTCCAGAAGGGGACAGTATACAGGTCAGGCAGGGGGAAAAAATAAAGGAATTCAATTCTTTCAAAGCCACAGGTTTTCCCAATCCAGGCTTTGTCCACACAGACAAAGGTGACACACCCCAGCACCCTCAACATTCCGGTCATTGCCGCGATCACAATCTTTGGCTGATTTGGGTGCCCTTCTGTAGGAACGTTCAAGGTTGGCGGAAGATACCTCAGTTTTGTTGCTAGATCGAGTGGGTGGATTGTCAGGTGAATAGGATGAAAACACTGAAAGAAAAACTGCAACGTATAGCGATATGAAAATAAACAAGTTCAAGCCAAGTTACAAGGTAGCTCCAATCCCCCTTGTTCCCTATGACTATCGGGTACACCAAGCCCTGGCCATCCAGTTCAATCCCATTGGTTTCCATGAGTTGAAAATCTGTTGCCACCTTGTCAAAGATTGCGTTCCACACACGTGGGTCTTCTTTGTACATCTCCTTCAGGGACGTTTCATCAACAAATTCCTGGGAAAAAGTTGATATACTCGAAGCACTACAGTTATATACGATATAGCAGACCTACCGAGTCTGAAGTCAAACCCTTGTTTCCCACAACCTGTCCTTGGGGCAAATCACCATGACCATACGTGTCAGCATACCACACTTCACAAAATTGAGTGGAAGCCCTGATTCCCCAACCTTTTCCAAATTCAATGACATCTCCATGGGTCGCTTGGAAGTGCCAAACCCCAATGGGGACTGCATAGACATAATGAGGACACCACCTTTCTTGAAGGTGATTCCTTCATCGCCGTGCAAATAAAGTGGTATACATTGCCGGTAGCAACAAATGCCAGCATCGACACGCTCGAAAAGTTGAAACTGTGGGTATACCACCCTGTAGCGTTCCCAAAAAGTTTCCAATAGAGGGGCTGCCTTGGCAATGGTTGAGAAGCCACCCATGATGTTGCCCAAATCGTTGTTCTTGGCCATAGTCTGTAGGAAATCACTTGGTTTCAGCCACCAAAAGTCTTTCAAAGGTTGTTGATCTTCCACAGTCATAGGAACATCATAAAAAAAGTCGTTCGCCTTAAAGACCCGTTGCACTTCTGCCTCCTAAGCGGCTTGTAGGCGGCACCAAAACATCCACGTGCGCAGCACTTGCAACTACTCTCTAGCAGGGACCCAGGCTAAATGTTTTAAGATCATAGAACGGTTTCAACAGTTTTGACCCCTGAAAATAGATAATGTTTTTCAGGCAAAGCCTGGTATCGGAGTTCTTGCTGTTCGCCTTTCCAAGCGCAGTCAACACTGGGCAGCAAGAGAGGGATATACCATCCTCCATATCATCCCTGCAGGCAGCTTCAGCAAACTTGATGATCTCAGTCGAAGGCTCCTAGGCCATGTGGCGAGTGCCAACACTATGACCAAACAAATAGCAGCATTGCCTCGCCACACCACCAGAATCCTATTTCATGAAGTCTACTGCAGATTGCACACAGGTCATGGGCCTACAGTTACATGCAATGGCTGCAATGAAGTCACACCCCAAACCATGTAGCATGCAAATCTCCAGTCATCCAGGCTTTTCATCTAAAGAATATATTATAATAGTAATATAAGCGCTCTCTCTCTCTCTCTCTTATATATATGATTATATATATGATTCTATCTACGCGTTGAAGGACCACAGATTTCAATTAGGAACCTCACCACTCCATTGCGCTCAGAGTCCCCGCAACCATAGCGCCATGCGAGCTGACGCGCTTTATGCGAGGGACCTGGCATGTCACAGAGTCATGGCAAGTGCAGGTTGTGAAGGGGCATCGAAAAGCTGGGGATGCAGATTGGAAACGCCACGCAGCCGTTCTTTGCCCACGAAGTTGCGATGCAACATGTCTCGATCGATCCAATTGGTCCAATTATCAATTGTCCCTCTACACCGGTGCAATGAGAACTACACTCGCTGCAGAATGAAAGACAGCTGTACATCCCCTTGTGAGGCACGTGGTTTTCCACGTGTTCAGAAAACCCAAAGCCAAGACCCACCAGGTAAGACATGAGAGTGACAACCAATTTAACAACTTGCAGCAAATCATGATTTGGTGGAGGATAGGGATGAACACCTTGCAAGTATACTACCATATAATGAACGTAAGATTTAGCATTTAGTAGACACGCTAAGTGGGTGCTCAGTCTATGTGGGCACTCAGGCACCTTTGTTCTTGCCACGTACCCTTTTGGCAGGCACGGTGCCCGCAGATTCAGGATCCTCTACCTTACCCTTACCCTTTGCAGTCCTTTTGCCAGACTTGTTCTTGGCAGACTTTTTGTCCTTCTTCGACTTTGTCGAAGCCCGTGTTCCCTTTCTCGTATCCTTCTCCGACCCAGCTCCCTTTCCATTCTTTTTCTGGTTGGTCTTGTTGGACTTGATCAATTGCCTAATGTTGCAGAATCAATCCAAACACCTGTGGAATTGAACAAGGATTGGGAAGCAATCATAGATCCCAAGTTTTAGACACACATCTTGGGCCACTGGCCGCTGCTGAGTTTCCAGGGTCAGGGATGTAGCACACCTAAAATGACGCGTTCCATCACATGAAAAGCATCTTCACCGCCGAGGGTTGGGGATTCGGTGCTTTGTGAGATGGATGGCCAAGGATCAAATCCCTGATCTTGTTCTTTTCCTCCACGATCAACTGCTTCAGCCTCAGCGTTGCAAAAGGAACCATGCACCTGCCACTATACATATATATATGTACAAAATATCATACAAAGGTCAGCATTTTTAGATCTATCATCAGAATGATTGCACATGTTTCCATTGATCAAATTTGATCCAAACATGCACACTTTTCAATCACATGCAGCCTTGTGCAACTTCAACCTGTTTACGTGCAGATATTATGTGCCACAGCTATACAGTAGAGCGCACCAACAATGGAGCGTTGCTAGGTCTTTGGAAGCTTCTGTACACCATGTAGACCAGAAAAGGACCATCGTCGGATTCCCGAATAGTGTCTCCGCCGTCTTTGATGTTGCGGCAGCCCTGCTGTCCTTATATATATATATATATGCAGGGTGTCATGTTAGTGGCCAAGGTTTGCCACATGGATTCAAAAAATATCAGTGTAAACTGTAAAAGAAACACATCACAAAGAGTTGATAAAGGTTGGGCCCCAGACACCCTTAAATTCCTGAATGAGGGAAGCCTCAACAAATGCTGGAGATATGGTTTCACCAGCTGCGTAAAGCACCAGCATACAATCCCAACGGTCTCGATCCAAGATGTACCCAAAGGTATTGTTGTAGAAACGTGCGTGCGCATCAAAACAATACCCAAACTTGAAGATCAAAGGTGTGTTCTTCTTGATGATTCGATTGGCTGCTTCGCTACAATGTTTCAGCACCCGTCCAGCCAGTGCATTCTTGGGAGGAAGGTCATAGTCCAATCTCTTATCTAACTCTATTTTTGAAAAGCAGTCCAAAGTCCTCGGCATAGAGAGCACCTTTGAATCCAAGGCATCTCGCCACTGAATCTTGCGGGAAGAGGTTCGGCTCCAAGAGCTACAGGGCGGGCCTGCGAGTTGGAAGAGGCATGCGGGAGGCATCTCAAGCATGCACACTTGCGACTCCTAGTCCAAATCTATTCATGTCTGCCATGGTTGTTGTTTTCTGGCTCCCCCAGCCTGCCAGAACCAGTGCCGTTGAAAGAGATGATTTTGCCTGGCCAGACTTCTGCAAAATACAACTCTAGCATTATAGGTCTCATTTTCCTTGTTGTGCAAATCTTCGAAGCACAAGAAATGCATGGACTTGTTGATGTGACACAGATGGATTATATGCAAACACATGGACATCCACCAGCAAACAATGGATAGCCTCCCGGTTGTAATCGATCAGTTCTTGTAGCCACACTGTGCCGTCATCACCATCACCACCCAGCATGGCTCAACGGCTGATTGCAAGCAGTGTGCACGAGTGTGTTGCTTATTATGTTTCTCTGATATTTGTTGCATTTCAGATATATACATATATACGCCCATGTGTGGGTGCAGGGAAAAAGATCAATTTAGTTATGGCATTTGTTGGGTACACAGTCTTTTGGATCCATGGCAAATCCCTGAGACTATACTGCTGGTCACCACGAAACCCTTGGCTGCATAGTTTCCAGGTCCAAATATATAGTTTCGGTCACGCTTTGGAGACGTTCGCCATTCTAAAAAAACAGTTGGTTGCCAAGAAACTCGGTGAGACGATCACACTGCTTGGTACCATCATTCAGGTCCATCTTCATCTCAGTAAGGTGTTTGGCAAGCACCTTATAGGACCTATCCAATCCAGTCTTGGTCTCCTCAAGCTTGGTATTGAGCCTCAACATCAGGAACACTGTGCATGGCAGTCATGCGCATGGGATCAATCCTTTTCTTGGCAACTTGGAGAATCAACATGATACAGCTAAGTTTTAAACTCATTCACCTTTGTCACCGATGATTCTGGAAACTTTGTGTTTTCCAGAGCTGCAACCATGGTGTCAATCTTGTCCGTTTTGGCGGTGATGGAATCCATGTACTTCTCCAGCTCCGGCACAGGCTGCCAGGGAAGCACCAACATGTTGGTTATTTATGCAGAGGCCAGATGCAAATGGAGACGTGTGCCCAACTAAACAGTATACAAACGACGAACAAACGACACATCAAAGAGTTGATGAATGAGTGATCAACTGCACCTTGGCACCAAGAACTTCAGGGGAAGGCTTTTGCTCGGGAATCTTGACCAAGCCATCGGCAAGTCGCTGACCAGCAATCTCATCTGGCTTGACCCTCTCAGCCTAAGATGTTTCCAAGTGCCAGGAAAAAGGGGACAGGGTATGGATTGATGACCATGCATGTAAACACACGCCCAGATATGCACAGGCATCACATGTGCCTTTTTTCAATTTCAACTGATCGATCTTGACATTGTGTTCAACCAAGTTTCATCCAACTCAGTGCTCTCCACAGTCTTGTCAATTTCCGCCAATCGTCGAGTGGTCTTCTCATCTGTCTCGATGTAGTACTCAGTGATGCTTTCGTTGTACTTCCAGGGCCTGCTCGAGGGTCAGGATTGGATTTAGACATGAAACTGATCCTGAGTATGTAGTTGTTCACCCAAAAGTCCCACAAAGAAGTCTATCAATCAGGGTTCATGTCATGAACCTTGTGGCTTTGCATGCATGTTGAATAAAAGCATGCTAGCATTACAGCATATTACAGCTGAAAAAGGGCATGCAATCTTTGGGGATATTGTTTTACAAGTGCTCCCACCCCAACAGTCCCACCCCATGGAGTCCTGCAAAGGGTTTCAGGAAAGCGTTGACAATAGGCAATCATCGATTTGATCGTGGATGCCGACCATTCGCCACACTTGCGCATTCTCTCCTCGGTCATCCAACGACCGTGCACCTCTTGCTCCCTGCTAGCAAGCTTCTCCTTTAGCACTGTCACCTTGCGGACAAACTCTCCCTGAGATGAAGATGTGCGTAAAGACATTCGAGCAAAACCAATTGCGCATATGTAAGAGTGAACTATATATATATTGATTCAAGGTCTCCCCACGTAAGCTGTTTTCGTGTATATAAGACAAGGGATGATACAGGTCATGTAGTTATAAAGAACCACCCCAAGAATGAAGGTCTTCTGAATATAGGAGTACTTGCCAAATCGTAGCCAAGATACCTTCACCTTCTTGTACTTGGTCCTATCACATCCATGAACGGCCAAGCATTGCAACAAGGCCATCTCAAGGATTTCTCTGGACTCTCCACCATTCACATAGTCTGCGTTGATGTTTTCTGGCACCCCACACTTGCCAGAGGCCTTTTTTTCGCATAGACGCCGTGCTCGCATGCGCAAGGCATCGTGTGTTATGGGCACCTCAGTGAGAATTAGAGTCACTGTATGCTATGCAAGTACATGCCTCGGGAATTCCATCACGGTCTTTGTACTTTTCCTTTATTTGGTCATGTGCACAACTATGCAATCAAGAAACCACACGACCATCTTGCGTCATCATGTACTTGTCCGTGTCAGCTGACTCATCGTCACTGTCCGACTGATCGCTGACGTCAGATCCACTAGCGGCAGGTTTCCTTTTGGATGTCTTTTTCTCCAAATCCTGTTCATGTGTCCTTTTTTTCATGGTCTCGTTCCCTTTCTCTTGCTCAGCATTCGATTTCTCTAGCGCTGAAATCTTCTCCAATGCTTCCTTCAGTTTCTGTTCTGTTTCCCCATTTGGGGTTGGGGTTTCTGCCTGCTGCCCACGAAGCTTAGACTCCAGGATGTCCATCTGGCCCAGCAACCTCTTCATATTTTGCTCATGAAGTTGCGATTGTTCTCGCAAAGCCTCACGATTGAACCCAACAAACATGCCATATAATGTGTATAATATAAATCATGCAGTCGTTTTCCCATTACAGTTGACAAAGGGCAGATTCCTCCACCATTGATTGGCACATTGTATATTGATGCTTCCAGGTTTGTGCGTATACATTCCAAAAAGATGACATGCGGTATATCGATGATGATTGCAATCGCCAAAGCACGGAAGAGATCATTTCCTGGATCACATCGGGCGGCATAGCGGCAACAGGTGTTGCTGGCGCTGAGGATCGTCCACGCAAGGCCGCCTCCAACTCCTGGGTTGCCTGGGTTGGCGAGCAAGCCGTCTAGCATAAGGACATATCCAGCTATGGTGGTTTTGTTCAAGTCTTCAATCCATCGAGTGATTTAGCTACACAGAACAATGCATGGTGCAAAAACCACCCATGTATTCATATGAATTCCAAATACCGAGAAACTGCTGGGACAGTATCCGCTGGTGATGTAACCACGGAAGCAGCATGAGGTTCAGGCATAGATCCCAATGGCTTAGTTGAGACCAAACAATTGCAATGTTCATGCAAAAGGCATGCATGTTTGACTGCGCCCTTGAATCTTGCCATGTAAAATCAAAGGAAGTTATATATATACTCTTTGATGTGCCAGCAAGAATCTGTGCCCAATGCCTTTCTTGGCGAAGGTGTTTCGTGCTTCACTGCGGCAGGAACCTCATCACAGGGAAGGAGTGGTGGATTGAGATGATGTATAAGTGGAATTTGGTCTTGAACGATGGTTGATGGGGCCATGTATTGAATCTAATGCAAGCTCGAAACAAAGACCTTATCCTTTCCATTTCCAGAGTTAGTCTTGGACTTCTTCTTGTTCAACTCGTCTTGTTGATGCTGGATCTTTTTGATGACCTCCTCCGCAGCCTGCATGACATCTCTAGACCCTAGACCTAGATGACTGGTTGAAATGATTTGCACATGCACACCTTTTGACATATATATATATACACAAATGCTGTGGATTGTTACATCTTATTGTTTTTCTACATGCACGGTGTTTACTCGATGATCAGACACAAAGAAGCGGGTTGAAGACATCCATATATATATATATATATGCATCTCTAAAAATGAACATGTGTATTGATGACAGCCCAGATTAAGGTCGAGCACGCCGCACGCCTTCCTAGCATCTGCAAGCTGGTGCGGCTCCAAGTTGATTCCAGCAATTTGGGCGCAGGCTGCCACACCCTCTGCCAGAGTATTACAACTCCAAGCTTTGCTCATGAAAGAACCGGATTGACCCTCCATTGCTGGTCGAAAATCCCTCAACCAATCCCAGTACAGCTTGATACTCCAAAAAGTGCTTCTAGCAAGATGCGCAATTCTGTGGGGCGAGACCATGCATGCATTAGCCTGGCCCAATCAACTGCCAATGATTCAGTGTGATGGTGGACTCTAAAAGGGATGGGTGAAAGAATTTGAAGTCCATCAATCTTCCACTCATAACTGACAAGCACAGCAGCTGTCAGATCCCCAACTAGTAAATCTGAAATCCTTTTGTCCAAGCGGCGATCCATTTAAATATGTTGCATCCGAGGAATTTGCCACACATTGAAAAACATGTGGCCCAGCCAGTCCAAGCCCGTGCACCAAAAAGTATACACAAATCAAACCAGTGGTTCTAAACTTGTCAGTTGGATCTAAAATGACTCTATTTTTTCCTTTCCACATTACGTAATTATTATGTAATATTTACATACTTTTGAACGTAATTGAACGTAATTGAACGCAATTCGAACGTAATTCGAACGTAATTCGAACGGTCTGATCGGGTTCGAACGGTTTTGAATGTAATTTTTATGCATATTAACGTGTTCGAACGGTCCCCGAACGGTCTCACCCAAAAGTCTCATTTCCTTGGATTCAGACAATGTTTGATCCGCTTTGGACTGGACTCGAGGATTTTGATTCCTCAAAGGTAGGCCACTCACATGTTTCACCAAATCCTATAAATATCAAGATGCAAAACACAAATTGACACCCAGATTCATCAGTTGCATGTGGCTGTCAAATAAACACCATGCGGTCTATATATGCACCGATAGAGGGCCATACCAGTTGAGGAACCATTGCATGGTCTAATTGCAGCACTCATGTGGACTCCCAGGCTAGAAGATGTTTTCCACCCGGGCTACTTCTCAGAAAACCTTAGGTTGCATATCCTTTTGATGCAGGATTTCAACGGCTCTAGGAAATGTTGCCTTCCAATCTGGAGGGACCTGAAGGTTCTTAGACCCTCTTAAGTAGCGTAGGACTGGCATGAGTCCAGCGTCACTCCAGTCAGACCAGCGCATTTGGCTGAACGCTTTGACTCCGTCCTCACGCGTGCCTTGAGGTTTTCCCTCTGGATGATGCAGCAGCTTTGGAAAGAGCTTGCAAATGGCATCAGCGAAGGCTGCCGGATACACCCTGGGCGGCGCATAGTGAGGTGGATCGACCCTTTACAGTAATGGGATACGGTTCAGTATCACATCGAAACCATGAACATGATTCAATTGTGTGACAGTAATCCAGCACTTCAATTTGGAACCTGGACATCGACCTCCAAACCAAATTGAGGCATTGACTGTGTTTGCTTGAGGTTAGATGTTCCAGCATAGGCCACCTCTCCACGCTTGTTGATATACTTCTTTACAGTCTTGAGCTTCTTTAGCTTTTGGAGATGTCTGGGGAAAACGCCAAGATCCAAGGCAGCGGAGTATGCATTGTTGCTGTACCCGCGACTCCGCTTCGCCGATTCTCCTCCATACATTCCCATCCACCAGCCGAAGGTGAACACCTGCAGGCAATCACAGCAGAAATGTTTTCATCAGCTAATTGGGTCCACGCTTTAATCATATATCATATATAAGGACATCTATACATGTTTAAGGACTAGGGCCCCAAAAACATAAAAACATATATATATGACATCCTTGATGAGAGATTGATTTACAGGGCCGTGTGTAACGAGCATATATCTATCTATGTGCATGTAAAAGGGAGTCATGCAAGGAAACATCCAGAGCCTAAAGGCATATTTCTATGAATGACATGTTGCAGAACCATGCCAAAGGATACATATGGGGCCAAGCGTTTCCATGTCCTCACTGTTATGCCAAGACACCTTGCTGATACTTGCCCAGTATTGGAACCGATGATAATGCCTCATCAAGGAACTGCCAGGCTGCTCCAGGAGATAGGTGCCACCTCTGGCCACCACCAGCATGAAAAGCAGCACACACCTTGGGCGCAGTCATACACCCATAGGTTTGCATATATGTTTATATGTTTTCATTATCCTTCTTGCATGAGCTTCAATCTCATGCACACATACACTTCCCATGGACTATGTGGATCCAGTTTAGCCCAAACACCGCGCCACCATCTTGTTGCTGTTGACAATGTAATCTAGCTGGGTAGCGCCCTCTGGCAACAACAGGCTTCTCTTGCTAGTTCCACTGTTGATGTGGACCCAGCTGCTGCAGCAGGTTGCAAACAGGACTACGAAAGAATCTTCGCGGCAGTTCAATACTAGCCATATGGCCAACCTTGGCTGATCCTATATTCAGAACATGGTGGATATACAGGACACTGTTGAACTATATATCAAGATGCTGAGGCAAAACTGAACAATTATGTTCAATGATCATTGCACGTCCAATTCAACATGCTGCAATGTACTCGTTTGTCATTGATTGAATTCACATATCTGGCTGCAGGGAAAACACGCTAGCCCAGAGTCGCTGTTGATATCCATTGCATGACCAACACCACTCAAATACTCCAAGTCCACAGCAACTGCCGTGTGCTCAGCCTTGACGGCTGTAAAGACCTCGCCTTTGCCGGCAAAGAACTCCAGGTAGCGGAGGTCCTGCAAGAAGCGTTTGGAAGCCAAGAATGGTTGCACGCGGTGATTTGGATTCTTATATTCGAGGTTGCAAACATAAAATAATATCTGAACTCAACACAGTGCAGAACAAGATACAAAACCACCAGTGCTATCCTACAGCCCAATTGACCTGGAAACCATTTATATGCCCAAGCCATGTTTGGATAGTGGTGCTATCGAGGTCTCATGAAAAGGAACGCATGTATGATGTTCTTTTCCATTCCTTTGTTATTTGTAATTTGGCTTAGACTTGAACCCCAAACCAAACTGGAATTTGATTTGACAAAGCCCAGTGCACTGGAAGCACAACACCTTTGATTCCCAGATGTGTCCTCCTGAAATTTTGGCAACCCAGCAAAGGCAGTCATAATCACAGCCCACACAAATGCCTTACATGAGCGTTGAGATGAGTGAAACACTTGGATCGTTGAAAATACGCCCGCACAGACCCATTTGCGAGCATATTTGTTTATATAATTTTTGGAATGAATTGGGTTACGATTGGCATGCATGCTGCGTATGACCCTGCTTGCTTTGCTTTCATTAAGAAGTACATTGGAGGAAAGGACTGCAGTGACTTCCCAAGTCCCAAAATGAAGTCATGTGCCTTGTTCTTGCATAGGCTCCAAATGGCTCCAAGGTGTTTCAACTGAATTGCAGTTGCCAAGTCACCTTTGGAGCGCCCAAGGTAATCAGATTGAGGACCAGCTGACCCATGTCTGGAACCCAGCACGGCATGTTTGGCGTGGTTGACCGACGATCGAGCACCAGGCCTTTCTTTGACCAAAAACAAAAGGCTACAGCGAGTGGCGATTGAACTTGCAGAGACCTCACTCAATCAAAGAATGTGGAATATGGTGTGTACATGAATGATGTTGC